GCATGTCGTGAACTGGGTCTGAATTCTGCAACAGAAATGATGAGAGAATGTGCTCAACAACAGTACAGAAAGGGGAAAAAGGAAAATTGTTATTCTTGTCAGAACAAGACTTAAGGATTTACTTGAGGAAACAGTGTCTGGATACATTTCACATAGATAAATTCTGGTGTGAGGTCAACAAAACAACACGAGCAATTTTGTGAATAATAATAATAATAAAAAAAACTATAAAATGAAAATAAACCCAAAGTTTTTATTTCCACTGTTGTTTTCTGGCAGTAAAGTGCAGACACACAACCCTCCAATAAACCACTACACCGAGCCACAGGTGGCAGATATGAATCATAAATTAGTCAGTGTGAATCAATTTAAAATGCCCCCCTGTTGTTTTATTTTGGTCTGGAAACAAAGTGAAACAAAGTGAGCAGCCCAAAGGGCCACAGGTGTCTAAGGCCAGCACAACACGAATCCAATCAAAATGTAACATGGGTAATATCTTTCATTGTTGATTTTAGATAAATTCTCTCTTTTCAGATTGTAATTTACCAATCACAGTCCCTTTCTGGGCTCCTAGAGGCCCTCTGCTGACAATAAAGCTGTAGCTCACTGAGAAAAATAAGAAATAACCGTAATTCTGCACCAACAATGAATGGGAATTTGCATCATTTTATGGAGAACAGGTGCCCTTATGAGGCAGGAAATGAAAATATTTAGTCAACATTGGCAGAAATCACAGAATAACAGGCTTACTTGGCTTTGATCTCACTGTAACAACTCAAGCAACACAAACCTCCAGGCATTAAAGAAATTAATATTTGATCCAAGGTTTAATTTAAATGAATGAGTGCAGGAGCATTCCCATGTCTAAAAACAGTGAGACAGAAAAATCTAACTGTCTGCAGCTAATGCAGAATGCAACGATGAAACTAAACAGGTCCGTCCTGTGGCTGGCTGCAGAATTAGCCCCGCCTCCTCCATGTAAATGACTAACATTTTCCTGACTAAAATACATACCGGAAACTTATTTCTAAGTGTTCATTCCTGTTGATTCAAGAAGTACTTTCCATTCTGCTGTGGGTTCAAATATTTATGTATCTCCCAGAATTAGATGTAGTTAGTTATTTAATAAAAACACCACTATTGTGTGAATAGGGGAGTAGGTGAGACTGTGAAACAGTCTGATCCACAAAGCTCATGAAAAGTTTTATTTTTCCATTTAGAGCAATCATTTAGGTAGATTGTAAACACTAAACCTTAAAATGTAAAAAAATAAAATAAAAATACAAGTACATTTGCAAAATATTATGTTTCATTACAAATATATTTACCTTTTTAATGTTTTTGGATACATTGTACAAAGTGTACATGTTTTTGAACATGCTTTATTGAAAATGGTCTAAATTTAAATTGTTTCCAGAAATCCAAATGATCAATAAACAAAATATAGAACTTGTGATTCTGGGAATAAAACCAGAATTGTCAAACTCATTTGTCCAAAAAATAAAAATAAATAAATAAAAGAAAAAAAATCAAGATCAGTAAAGACTCCTGTAATTTAAGTGCACTGGGTTTACTTTCACTGGGAGTGAAATAAGTACACAACTGATTACGTTCCTGAATAAGATGCTAGCAAGTCTCATAAAGACCTTTAACACAGCCAGCAGCATGATTATTAACTTAGCACAAAGATCATCTACATCTTTTTTATTGTTCTTCAATAATATTTTCTTTATTCTTTTGAATTATGTAGTTTCACTCAACCATTCAGCTTCTTATCTTTACATCACAAGTAAGGTAATGAAAGTTACTTAATTTTAAAGTATGGTCATGGTTCTCAATCTGATAAAGAAGCATGACTGTAGAGGTCCATCAAGGATCTCTTTGCTTGTGTAGACTGTCAACTTGTTGTAATCCAGGATAATGTCATACTGCCCACCACTAATTATTAGTGTAAAATAAATAATGAATTAACTTAGAACTTTACTAATGTTTATAGACTGGAGCCCCACAGGGCAGAAAAATGGGCCCGGTTTTGTTTGATATGTACCGGAAAACAATTTTACTTGCAGACAATATTCATTTGCATTTTGTACAATCATTGTACAAATGCTGCATTTATTTTATGAAATTAATATTTAAATGAATTGGCTTTATTCAAATGACATAATTCAAAATAATCTTTTTTTAAATAAAAAAAAGTTTTATATTTAGAAAACAATTCTTATTCACTTAGATACTGTTTTAGGGTTAGAACAACTTTGATAATGGTTTATCATGTTTGCATCAAAGTCAAATGATACGTTAGATATTTATAGAGGGGTTTCCATGAAAAGGATGTTACAGATTAATCTTTGAGAAAACTCACTTTAAAGAAGCAGTGATAACTCCTGTTTATACTGACAAGCTAATGGCTAATCACTGTCGGGCTAGTTGTGTTACTAGCCACTGTAATGTACATATTAATGGCAACAATATTTCACAACCTGCTATGAATGTGACATTTTTAGACATTACATCTAACTATCTTGTTTATTATTACATGTATTCATAACTGGTTCCACTCTGAGTATCACTAAGGAGGCAGTGACTATTTTTGGGTGATGGGTATCACGTCAGTTAGGTATTATAACCCCCCCCCCCCCCCCCCCCTCCTTAGTGTGTAAGCATTGCACTGTGTTTTTAAACTCGGAGCACCACAAACTAAAGGCTGTGCTTGCAGTTTTTTAGAACCTAGGGAGTAATGTATGAGTCTGAGCTGCAGGGTAGGACAAAGCCAAGAAAATATTTGCATACATTGAAGAAAAAAAAACATTGCTAATATGTTCCTTTAAAAAAACACCTCTCTCTATATCATATTTCAACCGCTGTCAGCTGTGTTACTACCTGGCAAAAAGCAACAGTAAATGCACAGCACAAAAGCCTTGTTTGGTGGGAGCTGAGCTAACGCTAGAAGAGTAGGGAACAGATGCTGATCATTAACGGGCTCTGGTACAATAACAGCAGCAGTGCTCCTTGAGTCTGGGGAGAGTGGTCTTTTGATTTTCCTGCCTGATGAGCCGTTGTGTATACGTTGGAGGGGTGGATGGTTGGTGGCAATATGTTGTATAGAGCAGACATCTGTGTGTATACGTGCAAGTCTGTATCAAAGTAAGCCTGATTTAAGCCCCCAGATGGGTGCCTGAACAGTAGGTGGCAACAGATGTCAGTGTTTGAGTTTGGATGCTTTTGTGGTGTTTGTTTGGTGCATGTGACCCATTAGTTTGCTTTCAGTCCAGAGATACTGATGCAGTGGGTGGTACTCACTACTCTAAAGGGGTCCCTAAGTTCTCTTGAGCTGTGCAGTGGCTGCAGCCTCTATCCATCACCATCTCACCTTCGATTGAAGAGAGGTCAGAGGCAGAGACGGCAAAAAGAGAATGAGAGAAAAAGAAGCAAAGCAGTAGAAATGGAGGGATAAATGTGGGGAGTGTATCTACACCTAGGTGATGGATTTACTCTGGAATGATTTTTCTGTTCTAAGAGCGGGATAATGCCTTAGCGATGCAGCCGCAATGCTTCTACTGAAAAGGTTCCTTTTACTAGAGGCTTCGTCTGGGCAGGATAGCAAATGATGTGATCTGCACAGCTCCAGCAACTATCTTTATACCACCAAACCCAATGATGGGGATTCGTGTAAGGGTCTCTGAAGTGGACACATGTAATTTACTTTGAAATTCCCTCTCTACGTCATAACAGCAGCACAGAATCCACATTACTTAGCAAGATGAGGTATATTTGATTTGCATTATGCCCTTTTCCATCCACGTATTTTGCTTGTTTCTAATGCATACATGTCTTCGATTTACTTTACCCCTGACTTACTGGAGCCCAACTTAAAAGAAAGTTTCTGGGTGCTTGAAAGGTGCGACAAGAAAGAACAAATTTGGCAATAGGTCTTGCATCGGCCATATCATCAAAACCCAATACAATATCATAAGCTTTTAATTACACTAACATCCGGTGTCTGAATCCAAAATTTCCTGAAAGAGGTCTCTGAAATATGTGAGAGGAAAGTGAGCAGAGTGTCAATCCTTTCTACCTCAAAGAACAACTCTCAGCATGAGGCCATGAAGCCAATCCAATTAAAATGCATAAATCTACCTATATGCCTCCAGAGCTGGTCTTTGACTCATGAAATACTGTCAGGCAGGGCAGACTGTTGCGCTAAGGGGTAGTGGCCCACTGCAAGGAGTCATGTGACTAATTCACCCTCAGTAGGCCTGGGGATTTATGAGCTGCACAGAGATGGGGAACAGTTGCAGAGAGGGTGCATGAATCAGGGGTCCTGGCAAATTTGTCACATTTAAAAAGGCTGGGAGAAAGATTCCAGCTTGTGTGGTGGGAGTTGACATTCAGCGCATGCACCTTATGTCGCACTACGCCACAATAAGGCTGGGCGAGATTCTCTGGAGTTAATGTGGTCTGTTTTCTCTCCGCTTGTGCTTTACCATCCAAACAGATTCATCGTGAACCCATCGCTCCTGGCATGAACCGCAACATGCTTTTGAGTAATATCACAAAATATGCAATTAACCTTGGCTGTCCTTCCTTACTCATCATAGTTACTGTCTGTCTGTGCTGTGAAAACAGGGATGAATGTAACCCAAATAGTATCCTCTCCATCATCCAGTGGGATGTGCCTGCTGGGAATAGTGTCACTTACCAGTGGCTCAGCTCCTCCCAAGGGTTTGTCCTAGCATGCGTGTGTAGTATGTAAATAATAGCCTGCTGGTGGAACCTGAACAGGTATATAATTTCTGAGCAAGGAATAGTGCTTCAACCCATGTCTACTGGAGTTTTTTTTTAAACACAAAATCCTCACCAACGGTGGACTAAAAATCAAAGGATTCAATCAAAATGATAGGAAGTTTATTGGACTCTAGCCTGAACTGTAGGGAATATTAAGAAATATGATTAAAGTAGACTCTTATAAATAGGTGGCTAAACATAGTGTTTGTGTGACATTAATTGATCTATGTTTTCTAA